ACTATCGAGTTTAATATATTCCCCTAATCTCTCGACTCCATCTTCTTCAACTCTCACACGATGTTCACGAACCGGATCGTCTTCATCGCGATAAGTCATCGAATACAAAACCCAGAAACACAAAAACCCTAGATTGTACTAATCGACTGGATTCTCCGATCGTTTTCCGAGAGGAAAACCCAGCGATGGAGAAATCGAATCACTCAAAGAGACCTGAGCATGAAGGAAGGAAGGATTTTGAAATCAAAAGTAGAGAAATTTGAGAAAGAGAAAACAAAATTGCAGTTTTTGGGTTTTTTTTCTCTTTTATGATCATTCGTTTGATGCTTGTTCCATTTCTTCCGTTTGCTTCTCACTGGGATTTACCGGAAAGAAGCAAGAAAGATAACAATATTTTTTGAATAACCGAAAATATTATTAAAATATTCACTTGTTTATAGAAATCTGTCACTCTCTTGACCAGTTTGTTTGAGAAGGTACTCAACGTGTGGCTTATCTCTATACACGTGGCGTGATATGAGAGATAGTTTGCCTTTTTTAGTTTGTCGCCAGTTTCGTGATTTCATATTTTAAATCCACTGTGTGCCGACCTCCCCCGTATTCCGTGTGGTCCCTGTTTTGCAATTTCAATAATAATCTCGTTTGGGGTTCAATACTGCTAATTAAGAAAATTAAATAACAAATGTGAATTTTTTTTGTTATATACTTTTTGTATTTATCACGCCAAGATTTTCTCTTCCTTGGTTCTCTTACAATCTGATACTTCATCACCATCAAACTGGCATCGTCTTCTCTTGGGTCTAACATCATCCATGACAATGACATTATCAAGACCATAAGAACAGCTTGGTTCTGTGACTTCTGTCTTCAAACTCAACTTGATCAGATTTGTCTTCTTCAACAACATACAATCATCATCATCAGGAACATACACTAAACTCATCCCACATTTGATCACCTCACAAGTTTCTAGCTTCTTCCTCGTTTCATCATCCGTAGCATAGAATTCGAACGAAGCTTTTGTGTAACAGCAATTGTTACTCTCTCCATGGAGTCTCTTGACTTGGAAACAACTGTTGTATCCCATGAAAACATGGTCAGAAGTGAGTTTTCTTGGTTCATGGTTAAGCAATCCACATGGTTCGTTCCAGCCTGCGAGAGTGAAATCAAATCTTGTGAAGGAATTGTCTTGGTTCTCGAATTTGCCTGAACACTTTACCGAGAAACGTTTTGTGCAGTCTTTGTAGTCCTTGAATGAGACAACTACAGATAAAGCAAGTCCAACAAAGTTTGTGTCACACCAATGCGGAGGCAATGGGATTTCTAGTGAACATCCTAGTCTTTGGTGGCAGAACCAGCTCGGTATTTCAGTCGCCAGATAACAGATTCCAACCAGAGGCTCTGGGATGAATCCCTGTAAAAAGCAAACAATAAGATTCTGCTCTAATTACAATGGTGAAAGGGAGAGAGAAGGATCAAAAGAGACCATACCCGATAATAACGTTTAACAGACGCATTTGCCATCAACTGACTTTTGATTCGAGCATGACCGGTGAGACTCTCTTGTGCATCTCGGTTCAGTTTGTAACAGTTGCTAAAGATGAACATAGAATGGATCCTCTCTCCTACCGTCAAAGGAGTCAATCGATTTGCCAAACTTTCAAGTGACTCACACTCGTGTGCATCCAGATACTGCAGGTTTTGTGGGAGGGCTGGTAGAGACTTGAGCATTTTGCAATACTTTAGATCAAACCATTTCAGATTATAAAGTTGGTTGAAGTTCTCTGGCAGATTCTCGATATTGTTTCCGCTTAAGCATAGAGACTGCAAAGAGGATAGGCCACCGATATTTGGGAGTTTGTAGAGATTGCATCTTGAGAGGTAAAGATCTGTTAACCGAGAGGATCCCATTGGAGGTGGCAAGACGAGTATGCTACCAGAACCTTGACTGTTTGTTCCACATAACGAAAATGTCTTGATATTGCTCAAGTGCACCATGTTTGGCATCTCGGTGACGGATGTATCATCCAGAAGTAAAATCTCCAAAGATTCCATGTCTTCCTTGATTTCGGGAAAAACCTCTAGTTGTGAGCAGCCTGAGAGTATTAGCTCTTGTAGACATTTCAGCTTATAAAGATCTGAAGAAAGACGCTTCAACTTTTTGCAGTTCTTCAGATTCAGCAAAGCAAGTTTTCTCAAGGTTTCAATGGATTCGGGAAGGCTCTTTATAGAAGTGCCATCTAAAAGGAGAACTTCAACATTCTCCGAGATCAGTGGGAATTTCTTTAAGCTGGAGCAGCCACTGAGAATAAGAGTTTGCAAAGATTGAAATTTGATTCCTTTTGGAAGACTCCTAAGGCTTGTACATTCTCTGACATTGAGGTAAATAAGCTTCTCCAAACAATTCATCGATGATGGCAGCTTTCTCAAACTTGTACATCCTTCTAGATTCACTCTCTCAAGATTTTGAGCATTAGCCAAACCCAAACATTTGCGTAAATTCACGGAGTGACTGAGGTCGACCCATTTGAGCATTCCAGCATCCTGTGACAGTAGATCCAACCACAAATCAAATCAACATACAAACCAGTATTAAAGAGTTCTAGCTTATGACTGATCAAAGTACACATAAATATACCTTGTCATCATCCCAAATTTCTTCCAATTTACTATGTGGCAATTTAAGGTCCACAAGGTTTTTGGGGTCAAAGTCCCAAGGGACACTCTGTAGCGGGTATCCATACCAGTGTAGATATGTAAGCTCATCGGGAAGGAAATCAAGCCCCTTCCGCAAGTGCAGTTTAAACTCTGCTTCACATCCACGGGAACAACGAGAATCATAAATTTTAAGGTACTTGAGATTGTACATCCCTTTGAAGGCTTTGGCACTTAGACGCATTGCTCCTAGTTTTGACGTGTCAAGGAAAATCCCTCTTATCTTCTCAGCTCCCTACGAATCCAGTGGTAGATATAGAGTAGTCAATTCAAAGCAAGATGCTAAAGTACAATACCAAAATGTATACAATAATATCACCAAGGATATACCCTTACCAAGCCTTTGGTCAGCAGGTTACAAATGTCTTCACTGTCCCATAGTCTGATATGCCATTGGCTCTGGGTAACATGTTGTGACCACCTAAAGTCACTTATTCCTATGGTTTCTGCTTTTAAACTAATCTCCTTGCCCATAGTCTGCAACATGTCATGCATCTCGATGCGATTATCAGAAAGAGTAATCAAAGATTTGTCAACGAGATCCTTGATCACGCTAGACACATCCACACCATGACATTTAAGTACGTTTGTCACGTAATCCACCTTCTCCGATCTGAAGAAACATGCAATATCCAGAAAAATATTCTTCTGCTCAGTGTTAAGTTCTTCATAGCTTGTTTCCAGAACTTCGTAGATATCTCCGTGTGATCTACTTTTCAGTCTATCCAATTTCGCTTCCCAGTACAGATTATCCCTCTCACAAAGATCAGATCCTAACACCTTAAGAGCCAAAGGATGACCTTTAGCATAATCCAGGACCATATTTGTCAAACTCTGAAACTCTTTCAAAGGGCAAGAGTCATTAAATGCATTCAAGCTAAAGAGCTTCAATGCTTCCCTATCATTCAATTTCGGGAGCACATATTTCCGGCCTTTGAACGTCTCGATCAGTTTACTGTCTCTAGTAGTTATGATAATTCTACTTCCTCCTTGATACCATTTGCAATGCCCCATAAGATGTCTTATTTGCTTTTCATCATTCACATCATCAAGCACAATAAGAAGCCTCTTGCTCTTAAGCCGGCGTTCAAATCTCTCATGTGCATTTCCAGGAGCTCCAATCTCTAGATCTCTATCATTTAGTAATGTAGAGAAGAGTTTCTGCAGCAAAGATTCTAAACCGCTTCTACCTGAATTCTCACGGATGTTTGCAAGAAAGCAGCTACCGTCGAATCGACCTCTCAGTCTTCCATACAAACAATCAGCAAGAGTAGTTTTACCAATCCCACCCATTCCAACGATGCCAATTACATGAACAGAATCCAACTCCTCGCATGATAAAAGCTTTTCAAGAATCTCTAGACGCGATTCTACTCCAACGAGACCTTCGTTCCCAACCGGAGCCAAATCATTCAGCTTCTTGAATGTGTCAACAGCAATTTCATCCACAAGTTTTGCCTCAGACGTGCTATCAAACATGAATATGAAATTCTCTAATCAGATAAAATCAAAGGAAACAATGTGATGTGCAAGTAATGTTTCTACTCTAACATCAATCTAGATCTTGCAGAGACTATACGAGAAAAGAAAGTAAGTAGAATTAACCTAGATTCAGTGACTACATAGCCGAGAATGTTGGAAGCTGTGGCAAGAGCAGTCTTCCACGATGAAATCTCATCCGCCGTAACTCCCGGAAAAGTCACTTCCGGTACCTCGAACGGCACCGCGAAGCTCTTCTTCTGCTTCTCGACGTCTGATTTGGCAACTTTGTAGAAGATAGGTACCACCAGCTGCTGATTTCTGTCTCTGCACTCGAGGATCTTCACGAGCTCTCGGAGGCACCAAGCGGAATTCGCGTAGTTTGTGGAGAAGACGATGATTGCTATCTTGGATTTCTCGATTGTGTCGAAAAGCGCAGTGAGATTGTCTCCTCGCCGGAGTTTGTCGTCGATGAAAGAGTTGATTCCTCTCAGGCGGAGCGCTTTCTGGAGATGACCGGTGAAGTTGTTGCGTGTGTCAAAGCCTCTGAAACTGAGAAACACATCGAGCTCTGTAGATGAAGAAGGAGGAAGAGACTCCATGGGAGAAAAGCTTCGATGCAAATTGTCAATTACTGTACAGATAACAAAAACATGTGGAAGATATTATTAGACTGCTCTTGACAAGTTGTCTTAGTCAAAATCGGTGGTAAAACCATTTCTCCTTCAAACGATGAGAAACAAGAGAGAGCGAGACCAGAGAATGGAGCCATCGGAGTATCCTCCCGATGATGGAAATTCGCCGGATCAAGACCTTAAGCCTACACAATTCTTATTTAGTCAACATCAGTATGAACGTTCTTCTTCTCTCGGCGTTCACAAAGACACCGACATCAGCGCGAAACCACTACCCTTTGCACCGTCTAGTGATTCGGTTCTGCAATGGTTTCCAGAGGCGCAGCAGCTTCCATTTTTGAAGCCACGTTTTATAAACCCGCCGCCACCATTGATATTCACGTATTCAAGGATCAACGCAGAAGACGGTTCACCAATAGCAATCGAGCTCGTCGACGCCGCTACAAACGCTCGAGTCACCTTGGATGATGCAGGATTATCATATCCATTCACCGGTTCGTATCTATTTCGGTTTATTTACTTTTGTTATTAAACCGGTTTGTTGGTTAATCGTTGGTTTGTAGCCACGTTTGGCATTAGGAGACCACAGTT